TATCCCTTAACTACTAATCAGAACCTATCTTTCATAGGTAAAATCTGGTTGCTATGGATTACAGCAATCAATTGAACTTTTATTTGTCACTGAAGACTTTTTGTTTAATTTGAATACATTTTTTTTGCACACTATTGAAAATTATAATCATGTTTTCATTTATATATATATTTTTTGTGTCTAGTTATACTTTTAAATTTGTAGCGCTGCACTTTTTTGTTTTGTAAACTCCATAATTACATCACGCCATCACTGCTGTCTGTACCACTTTATTAGGCTGGCCATACACAATCTAACCATACATTTCTGCACAATCGATTTTAGATCTACCAACACTATGTAATATAAGGACCTGTTCAATCAAGTTGTATCCAATCAGGCAGGCCCCTGCACTATATACTTATTGATAAATCCAAAGGAGAATAAACAATCCAGATTGAAATGTGTTTGGGGAACTTTAGATACAATTGTTTCAGGTGTTGCTTTTATGAACTTTCTGGATTTCTATCAGATTATTTCCTCTAAAAAAAAAAATGAAATGAAAACAAAAGTGGCACCCACATAGGCTTTGGTGCAGCGTCAGTCATCCAGATCCAGCCTGTGCGTGTTGCGGACTGACATTTGTAGGTCAGTGAAATAATACGGTTGTTAAGACGTCTGTGAATCTTCCTTATAAGGAATTGTGTGCTGCAAGCCACGAGTTGGAGTAATGTCTGTTTCCAGAGCTTAGCTCCGCACGATTGTTCTCCATGTTCTGTGTGAGGATAAATGAAGCTGCCTCTGTGCTGGGACAGCACTGGATTTCAGTTTAAAGGGTCACTCCACCAAGTTAATATATCTTAGGGCCTGTTCACATCTATGCAGTATGCTTTTCATGCACCGTGTTTTACGTGTGTTTTCCATGCCTTTTAGGTGTGTTACCATTGAACTTTATAGAATGTGTGTTTTGATAGAAGCGCATCAAAGATGCAGTAAGCCAGAATTTCTTTCCACTGCACTGCACCCAGTGGCATCCCTAGGCAGGTGTGGGGGGTGTGTGCCGCACTGGATGACACCTATTGCACGGGTTGACACCGGACCCTCTGTACGAGCTCCACAAAAAGGAATGTTTTAAAGCAAGCCGATGATCCCCACAAGATGGATTGGATCTGCAGATTGAGCATAATGGATCAGAGTCCAATCCATTATGCTCCCCAATCCGCAGATCCGATCCATCTTGCGGGGATCATCGGACTGCTTTAAAATTTTCCTGTTGCATGACTGCGCAATTGTCATTCAAAGTGCGACAGCGCTGAAAGCTGAAAATTAGCCTAGGCAGGAAGGGGGTAAAAGTGCCCGGTAGGCAAGGGGTTAATTAAAGGTAATGACAAATAATGCACTCACATACTGACACCAAACTCATCAGACAACTGTGAGAATCCACCTTCACAACCCCTGTATGGATGTCAGTAGATGTAATTCTCTCGACTAAAGGCTCCTGTCCCCGTGTCTGTATGTTAGGAAGGAAAGAGAAGAGCTGGAAGCCAGCAGAAATTTTTTTTAGGATTATGGAGGACCAGCAATCATTCAGTAGAACGACATGCACCCGAAGGAGGCTGTGCAAGTTGCCATAGGTTTGAGGCTGCCGGCCAGCGTACCTGCCTTAAGGGGTGTCTATGGTCAAAATGTAAACTCATACAGATATGCCTCGGTTTACGAACGCCTCGGTTAATGTAATTTTCGGTTTACGAATGAAAATCCATTGAAAATAATGCATCGGTTTACAAATTGTTTACGAATTCTTTTCACAATACGAAGTGTATGTTGGTGCCGATTTTTAAATGCAATAGCCAGCTTTTTTTTTTATTCACTATAAATCACAGAGTTAGCAGTCACTTCCCTGGGAGCTAAAGGATACTTTGTTTCTTTTATCTCGGGAAACAAATTAAAAGGAAACATTGTTTCTTTTAACTCCCAGAAATAAACTAAAAGGAAATGTTTTTTCTTTTAGCTGGGGGGAAAGTGACTGCTGATTCTCTGAGCTATAGTGAAGAAAACAAAAAGCCGATAATTACATTTAAAAACTGGCACTGACCTATAGTGACAGCGACTTTTTTTTTTTTTTTCTGACCTCCAAAACGGATTAATTGGTTTTGAATGCATTCTTATGGGAAACCACGTTTCGGTTTACAAATTTTTTGCAATAGGAAACGTCCTGGAGAACACATTACATTCATAAACCTGAGGTACACCTGTATATTCATTTCTATTGTATTTATGGTATTTCTAGTCTCCTCCTATTAATCTGAAGAATCTTGAAGTTTGTAAACTCACTTTGTAAAGATGCCCAAGCATTCTGTGACATGTAGTCACTATGCACAGCGAGTAGGCACTGTTGTGTCACACATTTCACAGAGCCTGCCTTCTGAACTACAGAGGTGTGAGAGGAGAGGAGTTTCAGGAGCAGGGGCGGACTGACAACTCATGGGGCCCCCGGGAAATAGGGAATCCTGGGGCCCCTGTGTCCTCACCCACACCCAAAAAAGCCTATGAAAAAGCCAATGAAAGGTACCAGGGGCATCTCATGGGGCCCCCCACTGACCCCAGGCCCTCGGGCAGTGCCCGAGTGTTCTAATGGTCAGTCCGCCCCTGTTCAGGAGGCAGAGTCAGAACAGGACACACTGCTTGCAAGCAGAAAGGTACCATGGGATATGTAGTCCTTGGAAAGTGAAAGTAAACAGCAGAGGAAAAGCTGCAAAGCATGCAGGGAATCCAGGAAGTTGTGGAAAGAGATGACCAGCAGACAGGCAGAACTCACAACATGAAAGGAGATGAAAAGTCAGATTATATTGGATTGTCAAATATAACTATTGTTTGTATTGTTATTACATGGCTGATGTTATGTAATGAAAGTGTACACTGTGACTTCTTAAAAAATTGTAGCCATACACTTGAAGGATTTTGTTTGAAAATTGGTAATTTCAGAAACATTCAATTGATTTTTTAATCATTAGTGTGGTCAAATCGGCATTTGTTTCTGACCGCATGAACATATTCAAGGAGCAGGACAGAAATGTTTCTAACCGTGAATGTAATTTTCATTCAGGAGATTCTATTCATTCTTAAATCCAACGTTAAAAGCAAATTAAATTTGTAATGATTTTACAACAGAATTCGTCAATACCTCAAATGTACAATGTTCACAAACCAGCTTAAGCGTCTGTCCTAAGAGCATGTTCACAGCAATTAGGTGTGTCCGAGCGTGCACATTTTTGAATTAATGGGACTCGCTAGGGTCTGCAGAGGGCAGCACATTTCAGCATTGTGTGGGAAAATGCATGCTCTTGTACACGCTTCCGCACCGCAGGTGGTGTGAATCAGCCCTATATATCCACCCAGAAGAGCTGTCACAGGTGTAGAGGTGGATACACTGGATGAATTATAATCTTTGTCTGCACAATCGCAAATTTCATGACCAGAAAATGTTAGACCCAGAGGTGATTGTCTGGGGAAGGGGAGAAGCTTACTGATTGTTGAGATACACGCTACTCTCTAAGGCTGCAATAAAACCTGAGCATTCCATGAATATGCGTGTTCACAAAACGCACTTGCATTGCCATTCATGCCTAACACGTCAAAATGGACAGATAAAATTGCATGAAGTCGCTCGATGGATTAACTTCAGTACAACCAGCCTTTTGGATTTTTTTCATGTGATCACTGCTGGCAGAGATAATTTTGTTTTGACAGCAGGGAAGGCTCCCTGCTGGCAGAGCACATTAGCGCTGTGGGAGGGATTGGTGCTGCCCGTGGTGGAAGAAAGAAAATTGCACAATCTATGGGCTGCTTTTTCTGTAAAAGAAAAGATGTCTATAATTACTGTACCTATTCTGAAGTCGCTTTTGTCAAGTCAAATGAGTGTAGAGGAGGGAAAGCCAACAATAGATGTCCCATAGTAAGCCTATGGGTGACGTCATCACCCAGGTTCTGCAACTTTGGCGATCTCTCCTCTACTCCTGACAAAGCCAGCCCCGGAGAGATCATGTGACCGTACCAGAGCAGCTTCAGAATAGGTAAGTATACACATCTTTTCTTTTACCGGGTAGATAGAATAGGCTTAGAATGGGGAAGGGAGAAGGCTTAGGCTTAGTTAGAATTGGCCTGGAATTCCACTTTAAGTGCACTGAATTAATTAGGCTAAAACGCCAGTGGTTCAAATGTTTTCCAATACTAAAAATGGTCCGAGGTCACTCAATTTAGTCTCAAAGCCTCATAGAATGTAATAAAATGAACTTAATTGGTCTAAGATTATATTAACCAAGTTGGAATAGCCCAGTAGAGTTTGTATGTTCCCAGCAGTGCTGGCCTGATCCACTCAGATCCATCTTGCATGCTACTTCCCCAGTGTTCCTATCATTCCCAAATGTGTACAGTTCCAGGGGGGAGGAAAGTCACTAATACCAGCACCCAAAGTACTTTCATGGTTTACTTACTTTAGGAATCATTCTTGTCATACAGAAGGACTTTTTAGTGCTTTATATTACTCAAGAGAGCCAGGGGCTATGTGAGCCCTTCTCTAAGATTAGCTATGAGATGGAGTGGTTGTTAGGTTAGATGCTGGTAGAACCTAATTTGTTTCTGTGGCAGTACCCAGCACCAACTTTATCCCAACATTGGCTGATTACAAATAAGTGTCCAGGTCCATAGAGCCCTTCCGCCTACCCATGTAAGTTGATGAACTGAGTTCTGTGCTTATGAGCTGTGAGATGTAAATTGTATGAATGGTACCTTTTTGCAAGTGGAGACTTTAACCAATCTTGGAAAACCTCTTCACATTTCTGTTCAGAGGCGTACAAGGACTCAATATGGTAGAATTCGGGATAAATAATTTTATTAAAAGTGCTCAAGGGTTAAAAAACTGCAAATTCTAGAAGAACAGGAACGTGTTGTATACAAGGCAATAAATATTGTTTGTAAACCTCTACAATTGGAAAGAAGACTAAGTTGCTGCAATGTCTCTGTCATGTATCCGATGCGTTCTGTTCTGGTGCCATAAACTGGACCTTTGGCATGATGAGTCCAGAGTTGTTCCTTCTCATAGAGTTGGTCTTTCGCATTGAATTGTTCCTTCTCATGGAATTGCGTTTCCGCAGTGAGTTTTGATGGGACAGCTCACTCTTCTGAAGCGTCTGGATGAGGATGGAAGGCTTCTCATCCAGTTCTCGAGCACTGCATCTTGGAGTGGCCACTTTTGCCGTGTTGCCAAACTTGGAATAGTCCACTGAATATACACCTTCTTCCTCTGAGACAATGGACACGAAGCGGTGACCCCACAGGATTTCCTCTGGGATGTAGGAGGTCCGGGCCTGAGTGGTGATCCCAGTCGTTTCTACAACACCCTCCAGTATGACGATTGCCTCCAGATCTTGGCTAAGCAGGTCAGATGCCGAGATGTCATAGAGGGGGCTTCTCTTGTCTATGATGTGGCAGATAATCAGCGGAGACACTAGGAAGATGTTGTTACTGTCAATTGGATTGTCCACTGGGATGTCGATTTGGTGGATGGGGATCACCTCCCCTTCTGGCGTGACTGTTTTCCGTACAACCTGAATTCTCACTGAGGCACTAATGATCATGCTTTTCCGCAAATCTCCAACCCGGAACATCAGGCATAGGCGGCCATTCCTGACGGCTATGACCGCATGGCGACTGAAGATCAGAGTCTCTGCCCTTCGGTGGGATTGTGCTGTCTTCATGAAGATGCAGCCGAGCATGACGGCATTCACGATTAGGCCCACAATGTTTTGCATTATGAGGACAGTGATAGCCATCGGGCACTGCTCAGTCATCATCCTCCCGCCAAATCCGATCGTCACTTGAACCTCTATGGAGAAGAGGAATGCCGCTGTGAACGACCTGAAATATGAAAGAATTAAGTTATTACTACTACGTGTATTAGCTCATCTTCTATAACCCCCAGGCCGTCTGCCAAGATAAGCAGTATAAATACTATTATCAGTTGTTTATTACAGGAAAGCATCACAGAGTACATTCCAGAAACAAAAAATGTTGCTGCTGTGAATGGGTCATTTCACCCAAAATTGATGCCTTGGTGATTCATTGATGCCACACCCATGAGGAGGAATCCCACTTTCCCTGACAAATTTTAAAAGGTCAACTCCAACCAACATTTTTTTGTTTTTAATGCTGGGTAAAAGTCCAAGTTTTTACTTTCTCTCTGGGTTCTGGTTAAGCAGATTCCCTCACCTCCTGTCCCAGTGAGACCAAGACGAGAATATGAAGGTGCAGATGTCACAGGGATAGGAAGGAACAGAGAGGAACAGAAATGACACCTTTACCGTGTTAAATACACAAGATTTTTTTTCCGCCTCTGTTCTAATCAGGATGATATCCCATCACTTCCCGTCCTACTGGCACCCTGTTATTGAGATAGTAATTGAGATTTAACCTTTCTAATGGAACCAGGACAGCAATAAAATGCTTGAAAAAAAAATCCATCCTGCACTTGTACCTTTACTGCCTTGCAGGGTGGTGTTCAGTCAATAGTGATGCCATTGTAAACTTTTAACATAAAGCCAAAACACCAAATTTAGACCTCATTGGTGGAGGGGTCTCATTACTGGAACCTCCAAGTCATATAAGGCACCAGCAGAAGGCTCAGCACCCGAAACACTACATGTAACACCTTATGGGTGAACTGACCCATTTTTAAGCATTTCAGCACAGTCAGTGAGCACTTTTCCAGCATGTAAAGGTCTAAAAAGTGTTTTATACATGGAACAGGGTGACCAGTTGTGTGTCATGTGTCTTACTATATAATTGCCAGACAGCTGCACCCCTAGCTGTAGTTTATATTAATACTAAAAATATGGTTTTCCGACAGATGATAGCACACAATGTCTAAATATTCGAACAGGTCACCCAAACAGCCTGAGACATACAGAAAAGGAGGACCTCTATCGGGCAGTTGGCTGAGGGAAAGGAAACATACTTTTTTAGGGAATTCTGGGAGTTTTTTAAAAATTAAAAAAAAAAAACATTCAGCACTCTTACCAACATTATGTTCCCTTTTCCCAAGAATATTATAACCCCTCTGCTCCATGTTTAGTCTGCCCACTTCCTGAGTGGGAGCACCTACAGTAAATCACACTAACTTTACAGTTTAGTCTTGCCCAGACCCTGTTTCTAAATATGCAGGGACCACCCAACATACCCACTTAATAGGTTGATGCACTACAGATCCCACATCTAAATATGTAAGGACTGCCCACACACAGTTCTGATCCCCACAATTTATGCATATGCGCAGTGCCTAAAAAAAAGGTTGATGCTGTGATCCCGGGACATGCCCCAGGACACTGTAGCGGCAGGACAGAGGACCAAGATGTGGGAGTGCTACAGCAAATTTGGGACAGTTACATAAATATATTATGCCACAACCCAAATCTGAAATATCATTTCAGAAATAAAACAGTTATACACAAGGGTAAGGAGTCAAAATATGAATCGGGTACTAAACAAAATTAATCAAAAGAAAAAATATTTCTGTTCTCATGAAGTATGAGGAGTTCTTCTTGCTGTATGTTATGTGTCAGTCATAATGATGCAATGCTTGTGACGGGCCTCAAGTAATTTGTCCCTCTGACACAGGGGCGGACTGACAACTCATGGGGCCCCGGGCAATAGGGGATCATGGGGCCCCTGTGTCCTTGCCTAAACTCAAAAAAGCCTATGAAAAAGGTACCAGGGGCATCTCATGGGGCCCCCTACTGACCCCGGGCCCTCGGGCAGTTTCCAAATGGTCAGTCCGCCCCTGCTCTGACCCATTGCTAAACTAATCTTGACTATGCTATCTGTCTGATTTACAGGCTGCAATAATTTTTGAGTGTCTGTCCTGGATAAGCTGGCAATGAAATCAGAAGTCCTAATCTGCTTTCATGTTTTTGGAAACTGGCTCAAATAGTACTGAAATCAGCAGAAGCTTAATAGCCTGGAAAATAACATTTTCAGAAGGTGGGGTCTGCCTTCATATTTGTGTATGTACAGGTTTCCTTTGATAGGTTATTAAAGTCTATAGAATGTTCACATAGATACAAAGCATTAACAATTTATTTGAACTATAAACAGTCAGTCCATCAAATATATATTATAAGTGGAAGCTAGTGCGTTATACCAGCCTTTTTCAACCAGGGTGCCCAGGCACCGTGGGGTGCCTTGAGGTTTCTTCAGGGGTGCCTTGGCAAATTGACAAAAAATTGCCCAAAAATTGTATACAAGCCAGAGGTGGATAAAGCCTGCCTTTTAGTTACACAAAAGCCACAGGATTTCATTGTGCACCATTATGACCCTCTAGCCTCCAGCATCCCAACACCCAATGACATGATCAATTTATAAGAAGGATGTTGGTCTTCTGCACAGCATTCTTGTTTGATCCTCCCCTGAATCTCTCTGTCAGCACTGGGGTCACATTTGCTGAGTGATGGAGAAAAAAATTTAAGAAGAGAAACACTTGAATTCTAGTCAGTACCAATGTGCAAATGCGTTTGATTTGGAGGAATAAATCACATATTAAAAACAAACATTGGGTGTCCTACATGTGTGGATGTTGATGTATTATGCAAAACTATTAGGATAGTTTTTTACATTTCAGAATGGGGTGCCTTGAGACTGTCCATAATTTTAAAGGGTCCCTTGACATTGTACATAATTGTAAAGGGTGTCTTGACTGAAAAAAAAGGTTGAGAAGCACTATGTTATACTACTCCCTGTTTTTGTATATCTTTAGAGATGTACTCGTGAAACCTTCCTGCCATATTTCCTGAGCATTCTTGGCCATCTGGCACTTTTGGGTGTTCCTCTCATAATGGGTAGAACAGGTGTGCAGAACCAGGAACACAGCACAGGGATCTCACCAAAAGATTGAAAAAAACACCAACAAGTTTAACTTTCCAGCATCCACCAAACAGAGAAATCATATCTGATTGGAGTGGAGCTTTAGCAGAACATTTGTGTTAAGGCTGCCACAAGACAATTCAGCCAGGCAAAAGGTTAACATGAGCTGAATCTGAGTGGAGTTTTTTAAGGTTTTAAAGCCATAAACTGCAGTTGTTGGTGTTATCAGTGCTATTATTAGCTTGACTTAAAATACCAAAGAAGAGTAATCATCATCCCAAGCCCAATGGAAGGCTAGAAGTCAGCGGCCTCCTTCACAGTACACCTCACCTGACATTGGCCACACAGGGCTCCCAGTTCTTATGGTTCTCCAGGATGTCCATGTCCCCGTGTCCAAACGCCACCAGCCACCACATCATGGCGAACAGCAGCCAGCTGCAGAGGAAGGACATGGTGAAGATGACCAATGTGTGGCGCCACTTGAGGTCCACTAGGGTGGTGAAGACATCCTGTAGAAAGCGGCCTTGTTCTCGAATGTTCTTGTGTGCCACATTGCAGGCCCCATTCTTGGCTACAAAGCGAGCCTTGCGCTGCCTGTCGCGGAGTCTTGGTTTGCGCAGGTTCTCAGCTGCGATCCTGGCCAAGACATATTCCTCGGGGATGATGCTCTTTCGGGCTAGCATGGTGCTGCACCAGAGCACCGATGATTTGGAGATGACAGGGGAGGTAGTGGTATGATGTCGCCGGTACTGCTATCGGCTGTGGTAACAGCCTAGAGTTCATAGAGAAAAAGAGAAAATATTGTGAGTCACAGTTCATTAGGCGATTTAACCATTTTATGAGTCTGAAAACCTTTCACTGATGACAATGTTATCAATGGCTTTGTTGATAAACAAAGCCAACCATAAACCATTACCCTTACACTAATTCTAACACTAACCCTATGGTAACCATAAATGGTACATGATCACATAATCTGAACACTGACCTTAACACTAATCCTAATTCTAACCCAATCGTAAATCTAACTCTAACCCTAATCTTAACTGTGACACACTAAAGCTAACCCTTATTCTAACCCTAATGCTAATTTTATCTAAAACCCTAATCCCAACCTAACTCTAAAGCTGGCTGTAGATGGGTCGAATCTTAGCTGGTTCAGCAGGGACTGGCCAAGATTCAATCCATCTATGGGTAGGCTGGTTTTACTGAAGTCGATCCATTGACAAGTACAACCAGCCTGTCTGATTTTTTTACATGCTCACAGCTGGCAGGCTATGAAGATTCCCTGCCAGCAGAACACAATACCACTGCAGGAGGGATTCCCCCATCAATACTGACTGTCAATGGGGAATCAAGAGATTTTCTTTTGGAATGAAAGAAAATGGTATAATCTATGGCTTGCTTTACTCTAATCTTGATGGTACCATGACCCTATAACCCTAAATTTAACCTAATCCTAACAGACTTTATCCGAGCCCTAACTCTAACCCTTATCAAAGCTCTAAAGTTTTGTTGATAAATAAATAAATAGAAATTTCCACCAGCATTGATATGGTGATCATATGGCTTTGTTTACCTAAAAAGCCTTGCCATTGAGAGCTGCCACTGTGTCTCTGTGCATACAATGTGCTTTTTGCAAAGGTTGTTTTAATAGAAATAAGAAAAAGAATGTACAAAGTGTGAAAAATTAGCTTTTGTAACCTTCTGGAGCATTATTGACCATTTCACCCTTAAATGACCACAAAAACACCCCAATTTCTTTCAGCATTGGCTTCAATGCTTTGCACCAAAATGGCAAATATTGCTGAAATGTCTTGATTTTCACAAAAAACACAGCAAACAAAAAAACTCTAAGGTTAGCTCATCCCTACTCTAGAACTGGAACTGCATCCAGATTTCTCACAGAACAAGAGTTCACCCAGTAAAGGTCTCAACTCCCAAATTGCACATTTGTGTGAACTGTCCCAGCCCCAGCACTTTCATAATTTATTCTTTCTTGGGATCTCTCATTAAAGAGAATCACCGCTCTTCAATCAGTTTGGTAAAAATTATATTACAAAGTTTTATACCTTACTGGAAAACAAATTACCGGTACGTGTACAGAGAACTGTTCTCATAGCAATTGATAATCTGACTCTCAGCTGAGTTTTAGGCTTATGGTGTCATTTTTGAGACTTCCCTTGAGATGTCTGGATGTCACAAGGCCAGATCGCTACAGAACCGTTTCTATGAGATGATCTCACACTTATTTTGGATGAGGTGAAGATTGTGATGTCATCTTCCCACCTCTCCACCTCCTCCAATCAGAAAATGCTTTGCATTCATTGGGAAATTGTAAGGTATTCTCTGAATGGTGCTCATGCTGAGTGAACGACCTCCTGTGTTCACTAAACAGCAGGGAAGACACCCAGCACAGGGCCCAAAATCTAGCGGTTATCACTGTAGTAGTGGTGCCAACCACAGTGATTTCCAGCCTCCATGGGGATCCCACAAGTATGGCACACACATACTTACATTGGTCCAAGCTTGATCAATGTAAGTATGCAAAAAATATCCATACTTATACTTTAGCTTAAAAGGGTCAATCCACCTAAAAGAGATATTTCGGATATGACTGGATTCTGGTAGGCTTAGTCATGTGTTGGCTTCTTAGACCTTTTGGAGAACCCAGTGGTGAGACGTGCCCTCCATAGTACCTGGCTCTGTTCCCATTCAACTTGGGGTGTTCTCGCTCTCCCTGTTCCATTCTCTGTCACTGAGGTCCTTAGGAGATGTAATAAACTATAAGGTGGCTTCCCAGCATCCACCAAATACCAGAGTATCAATTTTGGGTGGAACATGCCTTAAAACTATCTTGTATATGGCCTCCAAAGTTTACAAAGCTTTGGAACTGTGTCATCCTTGTGAGGGCTGATCAGGTGTTGATCAGTAGATTTCAGCTAAATTGTGACATTTGATGAATATAATGGTGTTAAAGGGGAAGGCAAATGAAGCGGTTTATAAGGTATAGTTACATAGTTAGTCTGGTTGAAAAAAGACAAAAGTCCATCCAGTTAAACCATTAAAAAAAAAGTTATAATCCTATACCCACAGTTGATCCAGAGGAAGGCAAAAAAAAACCAGCAAAGCATGATCCAATTTGTTCCTGCAGGGAAAAAAATGCCTTCCTGATCTCCCGAGAGGCAATTGGATATTCCCTGGATCAACTTTAATAAAAATGTATCTATAAATGTTAGTATCCAGTATATTCTGTGTATCTAGAAAAGAATCCAGGCCTTTTTTAAAGCAATCCACTGAGCTGGCCAGCACCAACTCTTGAGGGAGTCTATTCCACATTTTCACAGCTCTTACTGTGAAGAAACCTTTCCATGTTAGAAGATTAAATTTCTTTTCCTCTAGACGTAAAGAGTGCCGCCTTGTCCTCTGTGATGACCTCAGGGTAAATAACTCTACATCGAGTTCACTATATGAACCAGTGATGTACAGTGGGGATCGAAAGTTTGGGCACCCCAGCTAAAAATTTGTATTAATGTGCATAAAGAAGCCAAGGAAAGATGGAAAAATCTCCAAAAGGCATCAAATTACAGATTAGACATTCTTATAATATGTCAACAAAAGTTAGATTTTATTTCCATCATTTACACTTTCAAAATAACAGAAAACAAAAAAATGTCGTTTGCAAAAGTTTGGGCACCCTGCAGAATTTATAGCATGCATTGCCCCCTTCGCCAAGCTGAGACCTGCCAGTGTCATGGATTGTTCTCAATCATCATCTCAAAGGTTTTAAATGCCCAGACTCATCTGACCTTGCCCCAACAATCAGCACCATGGGTTCTTCTAAGCAGTTGTCTAGAAAACTGAAACTGAAAATAGTTGACGCTCACAAAGCTGGAGAAGGCTATAAGAAGATAGCAAAGCGTTTTCAGATGTCAATATCCTCTGTTCGGAATGTAATTAAGAAATGGCAGTCATCGGGAACAGTGGAAGTTAAAGTAAGATCTGGAAGACCAAGAAAAATATCAGACAGAACAGCTCGCAGGATTGTGTGGAAAAACAATTCAAAACCCACGTTTGACTGCACGATCCCTCCAGAAAGATCTGGCAGACACTGGAGTTGTGGTACACTATTCCACTATTTATTTTATTTATCGAGTTTATATAGCGCCAAAGGGTTTGCTCAGCGCTGTACAATAGAGGGGGGGACAATACATGAAACAGAAACAGTAACATCAAACAGCACATAAGGGGTAAGAGGGCCCTACTTTTTCGAGCTTACAATCTAGGAGGGAGGGGGTAGAGGCACAGGAGGAAACGGCTGTGGGGGATGGAGTGGTAGGAGGAGGGAAGGGCAGCGGCTGTTAGGTGAGGGTGGGGTAGGCTTCTCTGAAGAGGTGGGTTTTCAGGGAGCGCCTGAAGGTGAGGAGGGAAGGTGACAGTCTGATGGATTGGGGTAGTGAGTTCCAGAGGATGGGGGAGGACCTGGAGAAGTCTTGCAGTCGTGCGTGGGAGGAGGAGACCAGGGAGCAAGATAGAAGGAGGTCCTGTGAAGAGCGAAGGGTACGGGTAGGGTGGTACCTGGGAATCAGGTCGGTGAGGTAGTTAGGGGCAGTGTTGTGAATGGCCTTATAGGTCAGGGGTGAGCAATTTGAATTTAATGCGTTGGGTAATGGGGAGCCAGTGGAGGGAGAGGCAGAGGGGGGTGGCAGAGGTGGAGCGGCTGGTGAGGTGGATGAGTCTGGCAGCTGAGTTCAGGATGGTCTGAAGCGGGGAGAGTTTGCACTGGGGTAGGCCGGTGAGGAGGGAGTTGCAGTAGTCAAGGCGTGAGATAATCAGGGAGTGTACGAGTAGTTTAGTGGTGTCTGGGGTAAGGAAGGAGCGTATCTTGGCGATGTTCCGGAGGTGGAGCCTGCGTGTGTGTTTGTAAGTGATTTGATATGAGGTTGAAAGGAAAGGTTTGAGTCCAGAATGATGCCAAGGACCTTGGCTTGCTGGGCGGGATTGATGGTGGTGTTGTTGGTAGTGATGGAAAGGATGGGGGGGCGCGGGCTGGGGGGAAGACGAGAAGCTCGGTTTTGGAGAGGTTGAGCTTGAGGAAATGGAGCGACATCCAGTCAGAGATGTCGTTTAGGAGGTGAGTGATGCGGGCGGAGAATGTGGGGGTGAGGTGAGGGGTGGATAGGTAGATTTGAGTATCATCAGCGTAGAGGTGGTAATTGAAGCCGTGGGAGTGTATGAGTTTGCCAAGGGAGGAGGTGTAGATGGACTATAAAGAGTTAGATAAGAGACACTATAAAGAGATACTTGTACAAATATGGTCTTCATGGAAGAGTCATCAGAAGAAAACCTCTTCTACGTCCTCACCACAAAAATCATCGTTTGAACTTTGCAAATGAACATATAGACAAGCCTGATGCATTTTGGAAACAAGTTCTGTGGACCGATGAGGTTAAAATTGAACTTTTTGGACAGAATGAGCAAAGGCACGTTTGGAGAAGAAGGGGCACAGAATTGAATGAAAAGAACCTCTGTCCAACTGCTAAGCATGCGGTTGGATCAATCATGCTTTGGGGTTGTGTTGCAGCCAGTGGCACAGGGAACATCTCACGAGCAGAAGGAAAAATGGATTCAATAAAATTTCAGCAAATTTTGGATGGTAACTTGATGCCATCTGTGAAAAAGC